AATGCTGTATTTTATTGATGAAACCAAGGAAAATTACAATACTGGAAAAGAAAATACAGCACCATTCGAAAGGGCTAGTCTCTCCACACTCTTTACTACTTACTAGATTTTTGCCAGCTTATCCTTTCCTGTCTACATTTATTTATAGACTTCCAAACTGATTTACTTCCCCCATACTTCCTCTTGTAACAGAATGCAGTTATTCCTTCATTCGAGTTGATTCTCCATTCTTCTTAATTCTTTTAGAATAGGTTAAATGGATGGAAGGCCTAACAATACTCAGGGTTCCAAAAATTCCTTGTCCTCAAGGTTGAAATCAGGAAAATGTTATGTAATGGATTCCACAGTTTCCCAGAAGCTTAAGCACATGGTAGGCCCTTCCATTAAATCAATGCCTCTTGACTATAGAGTCTTGGGAAAAGTTTTGGGAGAAAACACAACGGGGCCTTTAAGGATTGGGCTCCTGTTAATGTATCTGATAAGGTACCTTATTAGAAAAGCAGTGAGAGGCGCAAAAATCAATCCTGCAATGACTCCAAACAAAATGCTCAGAGAAATTCTCCTAAACTTATTATCGAATCCTGGTGGCTCAGATTGGGATGGAGGGTCACTGTCGTTGAAGTTGTACTTGCTGATCTTTTCTAAGCATTGCACAGAGATAATGTTGAAGCAGAAAATAATAAGTCTAGCTTTTTGGCCTTTACTGCCACTAGTATTGTAAAAGTAAAAGTGCCTAATCTTCTCTGTAAAAGCAGAATCCTTTATGTCAAAAGAAATAACGTCAAAATACTCCAAATTTTAACACCCAGATGAATAGTCAATTTCTTGAGCTGAAAAGGGTATCCTGATTTGGAACCCGTTTCACCGCCAGCACTTCCACTGGCTGTACCTCCACCACCAGCATTTCCACCGGTTATACCTCAACCACAAGCATCCCCCGCACCTGTCCAACAGCCACAATCGACACCCGCCCTAACAATAAAGGCACCCGCTCCCGCACCCAAAATACCCACACCAATTCCACCACTAGCGCCAATGCCAGCACCACCACCTATAGCGTCACCAGCCCAGCACCAAATTTGGTTCTCCCACCTATCAAGAATGACGAAATCGTGATTTTGGGTTGATTTGGGGATTTCTCTTTGTAATCTGGTTTGGGGCTTTTGGGTTTTTTGGGCGATTTTGGGGTTGGGGATGTATTATTTACTGTTATGAAAGATTTTAATTTGGTTGGAAGTGTATTAATCTAATTTGTTTCCTTTTTACAGCAACTTGCCTAATTTCCCCTTTTAGAAACTTAAAGCAAAGCCCATGGTCATAAACGGTTTATGGTCCCACCCCTATCACCTCCCCAAAGCCCAATGCAGTGGGCCTAAAACATTACGACTCCCAATGTCAAAAATAGGAAACGGCATGCCGAACGAAAGCGACGTGTCTTGACGGAGACCGTCAATCTCTAGAAAGATGATACGATTTTATGCAAATCGAGTTAATGAACTTTATTCACTAACTTAACTTCAATGAATAAAATAAGTTTAATTTCTATTCAATTCAATATTTTAAAGTACCACCGTCTAGTAAATTTGATTTTATTAAAAAATTATTATTCAAAGAAATAGTAAGAGAACTCCTTTTTTGAGTTTGAAATGTGAATAAAAGACCTTTTAAAATAATGCCATTTTCGTTGATTTTATTTGGTGCGAGTTGGTGAAGATGTGAGAATGGATTTCAAGTTTCAAGGTCATTCGGTATGCTCGAGTTTGACAACTCAGTACAATTTTCTTATTTTTGGATTTGGACGATAATAGTATGTTGTTTGGACACATCAAATTGCCTGAATGATATTTGTCGGTTCGAGTTACATTTTTTATTTATTTGATTCAATCACACGTGTTTAACCTTTTAACTTTGAATTCTGATAGAATGATGAGTTCTGACTCATCGTCCATTTATAATTTGACTTATTTTATGTTCGAACTCTACCTGCTACGCAGTATTTTGTGGTTAAGATGAAATGCACCACCAAAGATCTAGACAGAGATTATTAGAGAAATTCAGAATGTACGATCCCTAATGACTGAAAGATATTCCGAATTTACAGAACAAAAGAAAAATCAAACTGAGACTTCATTGTACTTTCCATTTTGTAATGATTCCACCTACAATAGCGTTGACCGTAAAAAATTCACTCTGTTAAGTCCACAGTTTGTAGTGTGTGTGTGTGGTCCACAGAGCATTTTGTCTGTATGTAAATTGTAATGAAACAAGGGTTGGAAGCATAGGAAGCAATTTCCAAATCCAAAACCCCAAGTTTAAAATGGCGGCACCGTATGTATACTTATAGATAGCGAGAGAGAGCTTTTTGGAGTAGGGTTTTTGCTGAAGGTCTTTATTTTGTATCTTTAGGTGAAAAAATAATGGGGGATAGGAGTAGAATTGGGATTGATTCATCATCATCATCATTAGAATGTGATTT